TTCTGACCTCCTGCTGACTGGGGGTGCAGGGCCCTCTAGGAAATGCCCCCTCCTCACTCTCAGTCTGCAGAGACAGGGATGCTGCCCATGGTGGTGCTGGGGCTCAGCGACCCCTCTCTGCTCTGTCCAGGCCACTGTGCCAGGCGGCTGCTGCGACCGCTCAGTGAGGAAAACACCGTAAAGAAGGGAAAGGGCTTGTGGATGCTCCCATAGGAGAGCCATGTCCTGTAGGAATAGTTTCAGGCCTTATCATGGGACATTTCAGAATTTGTCTCATCTCAGTTGGGAAGCTGCACCTGCCTCCCACACAGGACTTTTTTTAAAAAATGTGTTTTTGTGCGGTGTGTGTGTGTGTGTGTGTGTGTGTGTGTGTGTGTGTATGTTTGTGTGAAGAACATAGCAATACATGATTCTAAGAAAAGGATCAGAGCCTGGCCAGTGTGGTTCAGTGGTTGAGCATCAAGACATGAACCAGGAGATCACTGTGGATTCTAGGTCAGGACACAATCCTGGGATGTGGGCTTCATCTCTGTAGGGGGTGTGCAGGAGGCAGCCGATCAATGATTCTCTCTCTATATGGATGTTTCTCTTTCTATCCTTCTCCTTTCTTCTCTAAAATCAATAAAAATATGTTTTTTAAAAACCAATGAAACAGAACTTTTAAAAAAAGAGGTGGAGCTTTCGCTACACTTTGACAAGCACAGTGGGGTGTTGCAGAGAGCAGAGGCCTCTGACCTCTCCCACCTCCTGCATTCTCAGCCAGGGCATCACCTGGGCAAGTAGCTCAGGGAAGGGGCAGGAGCTCTCTACCAAGAGGCAGCAGATCTGAGTGGTGATGGAGCCACTGACACCTGTGATGGCCTCGGCAAGGGACACACTGTTGGGCACTGTTGTAATACCTGGAAATTCAGGATAAAGCCAACTTCCCTGCCTGTGTCCAGAGGTTGTGGGGAGACCCCATTGCCACCATGTGTAGGAGGGGAATTTGTCAATACCCACACAAATTAAAATGTACACACCCTGTATCCTAGCAATGCCACTTCCCGTGAGCACCTCCCTCTAAAGTAGGGTGACCCATGCACAAGGGTATCCCCTGTGTCACTGTGTGAATAACCTAAGGCTGGGAACCACTCACATCCATCCAGAGAAGACAGTGAATGAAGGATGCTGTCTCCACAGGCTGGAGGGGAGGCAGCTGTTGAAGGAGGGGCAGCTCTAGGTGCTGATGTGGATGCTCGATTTGGGGCGATGTGGCTGGAGGCAGGGAGAGGTTCCCAATAACCTGGGCCTGAAAGTCTGAGTGTGAGGGGCATGTGAAGCTCTGGGTACCAGTGAACATAAGAGGTGCTGGCTCCCTGTTCAATTGTGTGCTGGAATGAGCTTTATTCAGTGCCTGCATTCACCAGGCTTTTGATGAAAGAGCATCTGTCTGAAGCAGGAAAAAGCCACTAAAATCAGATGGGGTTCTGGAACAACCTCCTCAGTCTCTGGCCATGTGACTTTTGGAAAAGCCACTGTCACCTTTTTTTTTCTTTTTTCTCAAACCCTTGTGTCGAGGGCTGACTTTCAATAGATCTCAGTGAGGGAGCTGCTCTGCTACATACGAAAACCCGACCCAGAAGCAGGTCGTCTACGAATGGTTTAGCGCCAGGTTCCCCACGAACATGCATTGCATGAAGGGCGTGGGGGCGGCCCCCTTTCCGGCTGCACCCCATTTCCCAGGACGAAGGGTTCTCTGCAGCCCCTGTCACCTTTTGACCTCAGGCGCCCCTCTGTACATGGGAGTCAGGCTGGATGGTGTAAAGGTCCCCACGTGCTCACAGTCCAGGATTCAGGATCCTGGGCCTCTGGTAAAACACCCTCAATGAGAACGGTGTTGCCTCAGTGGAATGACCCCCAAGTCACCAACATGGGGAGCTTCTTCCATGGGTGAGGGACATTCTGAGACGACCCAACTCTGCTTGGAGGTTTCATGACAGTGACTGGGATTCTGGAATAAAGGGGGGTTCCAGATAGACCCACAGTCATCGCCCACTTCTGGCCATCTCCTCCCAGCGGGGCTGCCAGAGTGAACAGTGAGTCTGGGCCTCTCAGGATTTCCTTCTCCTGTGATGTTTCTGAGGCTGAGATAAAGCAGCACCTTCTCTACTCCCTGCCCTCAGTGAGTTTCTCCCACTGGAGAGAAGGGAACGAACCTTCGAGGGAAATAGCTGTTGCCTGCTTTGTTCTGCAGCTGCCTCAGCACCCAGCGCAGAGCCTGGCTCACAGCAGGTGCTCAGTGGGTGTCACTAAGGAGGAGCCTCAGCCACATTAAGGGGAGCACTCCCTGGAGGCTGGTGAGGTCTGGCCTGCAGATGGGGTTGTGATGGGCAAGTCACTCAGACCTTCAGTTCCTCATCCCTGGCACCAAGGGGCTGGAAAGGATTGAAAGGCCAGGGCTGGGGAGCCAGACAAGTGGGGGTTCCAGACTTTTCCCACCACTGACCAGCCGTGGTGGCTGAGCAAATAGCATGACATCTCCAGGCCTCAGCTCTTTGATCTGCAGACGGGGTGAAATCAGACCATGAATCAGAACAGGACTATAAGCACCCACCTCTGCACCTGACTCTTAGTTGTTGCTTAAAGATAGAAGTCGTTCTTACTGACTGGTTGTCACACATGAGGGACAAAGGATCCCCCTGTACTCACCACTCACGGTGAGCTGAGTGCCTGCTCCAGACTTGAACTCCGTGTCATCACCTCCTCCTCTCCGGAATTTCACACAGTAGTAGGTCCCTGTGTCTGCTGGGGTGATGTTACTGATGCGGATGGAAAAGTCCATGTTGTCTCTCCTGGTGACGTCTGCAACCCATGTTACCCGGGGGGAGTGGCCTCCTTTGAGACTGTGGATTAACTCCCGGCCTGGCCCTGTCCCTCTGAACCAGCTGATGGGCCCCACGGGGGTCAGTGTGGTCACGGTGCAGCTCAGAGTGGCTGTCTCTCCGGCTGCGACGGACACTGACTTCTGAGGCTGAATCACCTGCAGCTCCTCACCTGCCCCTCCTGGAGGGAAGCACAGAGCAGGTATTTATTCACCATCTGGGAGCCTGTGGGCTCGGTCAGTATTTATCAACAACAGCTTTCATCGACCGAGTGCACACCCTGAGCAGGCCTTGAGCCCAGCACTTTGCACGTGTCATACATGTAACCCTCACAACCAACCTGTAGTGTAAGAGCCTATAACAAATGAGTAAACTGAGGCACAGAGAGGTAACATGATGTGGCAAAGAGAGGGTTTAAGTTTCCCCCATCAAGTGGGTCTGCTTGGTGCCAGCAATGGAGGGGGTGCGCTGGGCCTTTTCCTGCAACACTTGGCTGCCCAGCTGAGCGGAACGGCTCCTGGGGGTACCACCAGCAGCCTGAGGAGTTTGTCTCTGCCAGGGATGCTCTGGCAGCTATGGCTGGTCGTCTGATGACGAGGAAGTTAGTGCAGAGAAATAGGACATCCCTTGGAATAAGATTCATTTGCAGGGAACTGCAAAAGGGAAACCAGTTCTTGCAAAAGACTCATCAAATCTTTACCCAGTTTCATCCTTAACGTCTCTTGTTAAAGGGACTGGGTGGCACTTG